TCAAGAATGAGATTAGTAGAAGGAGTGTCAAAAAGGTCTTACTCAGGCGTCTTGGAATTGGAATTGAGATCTCAAATGATCTCAACCATGGAGTTAGCGAAGAGAATCTCAAAAGTCTCACTGAGACCTCAGAATTACAATCGAGATTCCAAAGGATCTGGAGGGTCAGATTAGACAGTATTGTGAGTGAAAGAATAGTCCGTGGATTGGTTGGAAAATGTAGAAGTTTGGTTTTCGATGGTAAGTGATCTATAGATTATGGATGAATGTTTACAAATCAGGTGTATTGATGTCCAGGGTGGAAAGATAGGATATTGTTATGATCGTGATCTCCATGCTACAAGCATAGATCTAGTTGTTGTAGTAGTATTGGTAATCCTAATTGGTGTACCTGTCGATTCCAGAAGAACTCACGAATGTCTCTAAAATACTTTTTATGCTGAGCATTTATGAGGATGGGTGTGGGTCTGGGTCTGGGTGTGGGTGTGGGTGTGGGTGTGGGTGTGGGTGGGTGTGGGCGTGGATGTGGATAGAAAACAGAATAGAATACTCACACCCCTACCCCCACCCCCACCCACCCCCACCCACACCCACCCGCACCCACCCACACCCACACCCACACCCCACACCCACCCACACACCCACACCCACACTGGTCGAAAATTCTACTTGTCATATAATTGAATAGAATAGATAAATAAAAACAACAATATATTAATTGTTACTGCATTTTCTTCTGATTTAAAAACTTCAAGTCAAAGACAATATCAAATTTACAAAGTCTTTAATTTTTTCGTCTCGCGTCATTAAAAGGTTTAGAGAAAAAAAAATATTTAGACCAGGTTCACGGTTAATTTTTGCTTTTTGTGAGATATTTTTGATAAGCCTATAACTTTCTTATTATATGAGCTAGAGGCATCAATCAACAAGCTATTTTGTAGAGCTTGTTTTTATTATAAAGAGAAATCTCTTGAATCTAAATCGGTCGAAAGATAAAGATCAAATAGAAAATGCAATTTAGTACCTGATTCGGCACCAAACATCGTTGATGAAGTTTCTATTAGAATCCAATGAGAAACTACATTGACAGGAAGGATAAATATATCTCGATAGGAGAAATCAATATTTCACTTATCTCAAAAAGATTTATCTGTTCAGATATTTATTCGAGAAGAAGAAGTATTACAATTAATAATCTATGTAAATTGAATAATATCAACTTTGAATCCTGTCATAAAGGAAATTAATACGATATTGGTACTGCTAGTTCAATGAGAAAATTGTGGTTTCTTTTCAGTCGATTATCAAAAAAAAAGGCTGGACCCATTTTACATACTCAAGATGATAATCAATATCTCAGAACCAAGAGACAAATTCAATACAATGACAATCTTAATATCTTGGTTTTTGTTTTGAAATTCAGTAAAAACATCGATCAAACTTTGTTGAATCGCAAAGCCAATAAGTGAAGATATCACCATAGACACGAGACTGAGATAGAACATACATCTCGAATTCAGTCACTAATGCAAAATTATTCAAGCTATCATTGATCTTGTGGATGTGGATATAGATTTCGTGATTACTGACACTCACACCCCCCACACCCTTATTCATTGAAAAAATATTTTTTTAGTATTTTTTTAGTATTGTTTCACGTCATTTTCTCAATCGGTTTTGCCATGATAGTCATAGAAAGTACAAGATGTTTACTTTGTAAATGAACTTTCACTTGACTAAGAATTGTAATTGTTGATAATTTTTCATCATCAGTATAATAGACACGATAAATTGAATAGTTCTTTGGATTTGCAAGTAAACATTCAATTTCACCAATTGACATTTGAAACGTATTTTGATTGCATGATCGAGTTGTTTTGACTTCTACTAACTCTGTTTCATTATTTGTCGTTTTGTTTATCACTAGAATGTCAAATGGTAAACCAGATTCTTTATTTTGATTGACCCATTCGATTTGTTTATCAGGATATTTCCATTGAAGATATCGAAAGACGAAATCTTCACCACATCTACCCGTCTTAAGATCATCTTCTAGATTGCTTGAGCTTGAATTGGCTGCTGACGGCAATACATTCGATATTGACAGATTAAAATCATAAATATTTGAAACACAAATGCATTCGAATATAGCCGGAGGTGCTTGTGTGAAAGAAATATGTCTGATTGTTAAAGTTCGATCAGATGATCGTTCACCTTCAATTGTTCTTTGTTGAGCATTTTCTAGAATAGACATAAACGAGTATGAACTGTATGTTTGACGAAGATATACCATGTATCTTAGTTGAAATAATTATTTAATACAGATGAAAGATATCTCAATTCATAAAAGAAAACTATTGTCAACAAAGTGATAGTATAGCTTGTAGACTTCAGAAAAGTGCACTCGAAATTTTGAGATGCAAAATCTTTAGTTTAGATCAAATTTAACTTCTGATACTTGGCTAACCTTTCGTGAATATATAAAGTTCATTCAGCATGATTCGAAGCTCTCGTTCTAGGATGAGAAAATGTTAGCTAGCATCTTTGATCGTTCAAACTACGACAATTTAAAAAAAAACAGAAACAATTGACCAGCTTTAGTGTCTTTAGAAAACCGACTGGTTTAGTTTCAAATATGATCTTGTTCATAATTGCTTACTGTTGATATATGTGGGATTATTGTGTGATATCCCTTCCTCATCATTTTGTTTCTTTTGTTTATATTGACCATCATTATTTATTTTTAGATGTCGTTGGACATCATAGTTTTTTTTATTATCTTGGTCATTTTCAGATGTAGATGATGTAAAAATCTTTTCTGTTGTAACATTGACTGGTTGCGATTTTCTTTCTTGTAAGACTGCATTGGATGGTAAATTTAATCCCATAGTTCCTAGCTTGGCTGGAAAACAGACAAGTGGCTTTGGTCCTTCCACATCCACTTTATTAGGTTGAAGTTTTAATGGAAAGCAATTCGATTCTTTTTTCATGTTTTCAATTGCTTCATCTGAAATATGGACGGATGTATTATTGATACGTGTCCGTTGTTCATCATCATCTTCTTCTTGTTCTAGTAACAATGACTCAGGTTCTTTGACAATCGAAGGTATGATCCATTTGACAGAGTCTCCTTGTAAGGGAAAGCTTTGTCGTAAACTTGCCAGACCGTGTTCTCCTTTTTGTTGATATGTTTTATACAGATTCTTAATAAATTCTGCAAGTTTGAGACGCATTGATTCATTTTCAATTAAATAATTTACCATTGTATTAATATGTTTTTCAGGTTTTTCAATTGTTTTTAAAATAAAAAATTTCGCAGCTGATTCATCAATATACGTCGAATGTATTTTCGATGATGTTGAGGATCGTCTTGTATTATTATTGTATGAATACGAGAAACGAATTCGATCAACATAAACAATTTTCATTCGAGCAAAGACACATTGAAAATAATTCGAACGTGTTTCCGATAAGCCATTGTGTTTAATTAAAAATGATTGAATAAGATCAATTGTATGTGTATAAAAATTGGTTAATTCCACAGATGGATATTCATTATCACCATCGACAAAAATCTTGATGACATCAACAAGATTTGGAATTTTAAACATTGAACAAAACATATTTTTGAAAGTCGGATTACAGATACGATCTAGGAGTTGAATGTATATATAAAAAGTCTACTAAGTTAGGTCTCTGTACCAACAAAATTGTACATTACAAGTTGAAAAGAAGACTTCGTGGAAAAGCAAGTCATATCCACAAAAAATTAGTATGTCTACAGATTTGCATATCTCAACTATGTGATTTTCGTAGAACTCAAGATTTCATATGCAGAATTTCTTCCTTTTGACTAATAATCCAGTACGAATCCATTTGTTTATTCATTCTGTCTATCCGTTGAGTATACGGAGGAGAAGCAGAGATGGTATCACTTCTCTCACCATATACTTCAACATTTATTTCAAAATCATGTTTCATAAACGTGCTGGTTCATATTTCTAACAACTCTGTCTAATTGTCTGCTATCCATTTCAAAATACGATGTACTCTATTGTTTTGAAATAAATTTTGATAGGCATATCATAGAAATCTGTGCTTTGTACTAGTTAAGAGAGCGAAGACTCAAGTCCATGGAAGTATATTGAGATTTGATTGATTAGCAATTGATCTATTAGGTGAGCTTTTGATGAGGATTTGTAAAAATAATATTTTGAAGCAATTTCTTTTTCGATCTACGGAAGGACAACATTCCTAAATTATTCTGTTCATAAGTTATAAGATTTTTCTTTAAACCTTGGATTCCAATCAATTTCCCATAATGAGTCGAATGGTGAGCGAAACCATTTAGAAATGCCGATCATGTCCTCTAACTTCAGATTAGAAAATATTACCTTTTGTGTTCGAAGCTAATCAAAGTATTTAAAACACTTCTTTTGCATAGTGAGTTTGAAAATATCTCATGGAATTTTACTCTTACCTGATGGATTAACAATCAACAATGTGTCTGTAAATAGACGAGCAATATCCATATCATGTGGATAGAAGAGTGGATCATCATATTTGCAGAATTTATTTCCTGTACCCAAACATGGAATAAAAGCCCAATTGGCACATTTTTCTAAATAATTGTACAAGATTATTATACGAAATCGTTTTTTTATTGAATTATGTTTTTCTCAAAATACCTCGAACTAATGTTTGACTATCTTGGACGAATGCAAGACGTGTTATGGCATCAATACATCGCCAAATATATTCTTTTGCTTTATTAGTTACACTTGATAGTAATGGAAGATAATCTTCAAGTGTTGGTTGTTGTTTAACCTTAAGTATATCGATAAAGAAGGATGATAACGTCGGTATTTGTTTATAATAGGGTTGAATTAATGTATATAGTTTCGTCAAATTTCGACTCGTTATCGTATTATTTGTTGTATCTAAAAGTGAATAAGGATCATTCCAAATGACTTCATCAACATATAGAAAATCGCCCATGTCTTCAGTTCGTGGTATGAATATAAGTGGCCATAGACGAAAACGAGCAAGAACTGAACGAATTTGGTCATTAGTGATTAATATTTGGTAGATTTGAGAAATATTTTCAATTTTATCTAAACATGATCGACGCATTGTTCTCGGCATCGTGCATGGTATTCTAGAAGAATTTAATCAGAAAAAATCAATTTTTAATTATGTATAAAATAGTTTTCAAAAGATAATATATACGGTTCAGTCATAGCTAAATTAGCATGATGATTAATGATTTGATAAAGAGAATCTCTATCTAAATTACATGACCATTGCATGAATAATTCGAACATTGTCATTGGAGTTATGTCTTTTTTAAGTCCAAGAATATTAAAAATAAAATCAGAATCTTTCAATGGTATATTCACGAGATCTAAATGTGGTACATAACGACGAAATGGATTATTCGAATGTAAATAGTAGACATCCGTTGGTTTGAATAGTTGCCCACCGGCAACAGGTATCCAGGCATGTTGTCGAATTGAACGACAAAATGATGATTCAACACCTTTTACTGATGGCATACTTGTATGTCGCATACGGGAAGGAATAACTGAGGCCACATAATACATTGATATTCGTCGATGATGTTGATGAAGATAGAGTAGAAGTTGAATACATTGATGAATATTCTTGTCTTTCGATGAAATAAGTGCATCGAATTCATCAGAATACCAATCCTTTATGATAAATGGTTCATGTATGAGTTCAGCTAATGACGACATTTCATTTGCCCATGGACTATCGATCAGTTGTTCAATATTGATAAAACCTAAATGAAATTAATTACATATCTTAAAATGAATTATATTTTATTAACTATGATCAATTACCTTTATCAATAATATTCATTTGAAAGAAATCATAAAGATCAAGTTCTTTTAGAAAAGCAAGAAATTTTCGTTTTTCACTATCTTGATAGAATAATTCTTTTTGATATTGTTGAATATAATCGTTTGAAATAAATATAAATTGATGATTAGAAAGTTTTAACTGTTCGAGTGATGTCGAACAACCATACAATGATGTTAAATGAACAATTGTTTTATCAGAACCGAGACAAACGAATTTACCATCAAGCGTCTTAATTATCATTTTTTTTCTCAATTGTTCTATTTCATACGTAAAAGTTTCAGGATTTGGTGAATAAAGTTCTTTATAAATACATATGAGATATGCAATGAGTGTAGAATCAGATTTTTTCGACCATTGACTATTATCATTGATGACAGGCAAAATATGACTTGAATATATTCGTCGAATATTACGTGCATCACAAAGACCTATGAATATAAAGAATTTTCTTAGTTGGTGCAAGGAAGAATTTCAGTCTGTTTATTGTGTTTATCTAACCTAAATTTGTTAGTAATGTTTTAATTGAATCAATACGTCGTGGATATTTATCTTCGATATAATCAAGTAGACGATCATCAATTGTTGGCAAATCATCCAAAACGATTTTAAGATGTTTATCAAATTTGATTGATTTGTTTGGTGGAAATAAAATTGTTCGTTTATCAAATTCATCAAAAGAAACCAATTGTGATTGTTGTCGTAATGGTATTATTTTCAATTGTTTTAATTCATTTATAGTCGTCATTTCTGTTTCATCACCACTATCATGTTCATTATTAAAACCAGGTCGTTCACGTTCTTGTTGTAGACTATAATCAATACAAAGAAGCCATTGAGCAACTAAAAATAAAATAGAACGAAACGAAACCAAAGATTTCATTTTCAAAACAAGATAAATTTTATTTTCGTTTGTTTTTTACTTTGTTCAATACTCGTTGTTTTTGTTGAATGTATTTGATCATTTTGTTTGTATAATGTACGAATTAATTTGAGAATATCGGCAAAATCTAATCGACGACAACCTAATTTAATAAGAATTTGTTCGTCACATTCTTTGATAAATTCATCATGTAAATAATAACTATTAAAATGTGATAGAAGTAAATCTTGTGAGAAAATCTTTCGTATAAATGTATCACGAACAATAACACATTGGGATGGTAAAACCCAATCAATAATTTGTTCATCATCATGACAAAATACAGGTAAACGAATAATACCCATCAAACCTTGAATACTTTTATCAACAAATGTATTAAAATATGGATCGATTTCATTTCGTGTTGGTATTAATTTGAGAAAATATTTTAAAGCTTGAATTTTTGTTAATTGAACATTTGTTTGATGAAAATCAAGTGTACATTGATCGAGTAAATCGGGTAAATATTGAAATTGTTCATAAGCTAATGAAAATAATTGAATCATTTCAGATTTTAACCAATCATTCCATCGATTATCACGTAAAATTTCTTGTCGTGCTGCCGTTATTTCAAAATCAGCTTGTAGAATAAAACGAAAACCATAGGAACGAAGTGGTAAATAAGCAAATAATGGTTGTGCCGAAAGAACTTGACGAGATGCACATTCATACATAGGATTTAATGGATAAGCTATAGCAATAGTTGTTGATTCAACATCGCATTTTACTTCGCTCAATTTCATCTAAATAAGATTGTCAATGTCTTTATCAAAATACTTAACCCATGATTAAATAGAAGTACACACAGAAATGTTCCCTACACTGAAATATTTCATTTTTCAACTCGCAGAGGATGTAAATGTGGATATTTCCTTTCTTATCACTGTAATCTTCACAGTACAATTCGAAATAGATATACATAGTAATAAGAATTTGTTTCATTTTCTCTTACTTTGAGATCGGTAGGCACGTGAACAACTTTTTTTACAACGAGCCAAAAATGTTTGATAAGGTTTTCTGTTTGTGTTGTTCGTTCTTGTAATTCTATAATTTGTCCTTGAGCATGATCGATTCGTGTAAATGTACTACAAGTAAGAATGTGATGATTATCATTTTCGCGAATAATTTCAATTTGTCGAAGACGATTCAAAAACAATAAAAGTATTGGTTGAATATCATCAAAATTTCTTTGAAGTCGATCACCTCGTTTATCTTGTTTGATCGGTAGACGAATACATGTTATCCATTCGTCATTCGATGGCAATATTTCGGCAGGTTTATCTAACCAAATCGGTCGAATATAACCAATTTGTTGAGTACCATTGACAGTATCAAAACAAAATTGATATGATCCTGAATAAATCTCTGGACAATGGGATACCATAAATACTGATTTGAAACCAATACCTAGAATAATGAAAAATAACTATACTAACCATATCTTATCGAATATGTGCTACAGTGCGAGCAGATTATTATTTCGTTGTCAATAGCTAATACCTTTGTAGTCAACGCTTGAAACTTTTAAGAGAAAAAAGCACCAATGTTTCCGAATGGAATCAATTAGTTTTTATATCTTTCTTTGAGATTATCATTAAAATGTGTATTAACTGATCGACAAAAATTAATCAGTTTACCTTTGTGTCCAGCATATCCTTGCTTGTGTTTGCCTTTAGTTGATGCACCAACATTGCAAATAGCCGAAATATGCATTGGTCGAAAGCCAATTTCATTATTACAAACAAGAATACGTTCAGAAGAAAGAATAAAACGTAATGTTGGTAAACAATTCGGTAAATATTGATTATCATCTGCATTTTGAATAAGTTCAAGTACAAAATGACCTTGTTCCGAATAGAGATCATTTGATAACTTTTCAAGACTTCGTTCAATCATTCCTTGAAGATTACTTATAATTGATTGTCCAATTGAATCAAGACCACAATTGACACCGAAACCACGACGTATAGATTCAATATGTTCAAATGCAGCTTGTATAGAATCATTTTCACTAATAATTCGTTTTTCTATATCATTATTAACATAATGATGTGATGTTGTTGTCGATAAAATAGAATCATTTATTGTTTGTACTACATTTGGTTGAATATTTTCTATACGAAAGTTTGTTTTTTGTTTTAGAATATAGTTTATTGTCTGACTAAAAACAAATTGTAGAGAGTTTGAATGATTGAAGATGTAATATTGGCAATTATGAACTCACTTTTTTTAAGCAGTTTGGCCAAATTTCAATTATATTACTTTTTTTTCAAACTTTATAAACACATTGTATTCTGACTTGGCATTAAGAACTAATGTCCCTTATAGCATGTATTTGTGAATATTCTTCCAATTCTATCTAGTTTTTTTAAATTCTGCTTTATTATTGAGAAAAGTGATTTTTTTGCCTCATTTGGTTATAACATTAGACAAAAGTTTGAAAAGTATACTTGTATTTAGCAATCTTTCGAATCAAGAAAAAATATTTCCTATACGAAATACATCTGGAATTTTCCTTTATGAATCGATGCAGATTGTGTCTCTTTATCTGATTTTATCACGAAATAATATAAAATTCAATTTTCTCAACGATAAAAAGGAATCTTAAAAGAAACTAAATAAATACTTTTGTAGGTTACTTAATCAAATGACATTTTTCTACTCATTTTATAATGTTGAATCAGGGTAAAATGTATTCATGCTGTTTAAAACAATAGTGTAACTGAATTGTAAATACTATATATTCAATCATTCAAGTTTTCTACGACTTTCTTTAGTTAAATACTGATCACACCGCATATAAATGAATGAAAAAATTCACTCAAATTTTGTATAAATGTTAGCTTACCTTTGACAGTGATTTCTGTTGTGTTCGATACTTTAACTGATTGTTTTATTGTTGGTTCGTTCTGTGCTTGATTTTGTTCCATCCATTTAGTCGTATTCTTCCATTCTTTAACATCAAATAAATAACCCCAGGTTTCCAATTTATTCTTTTGTTTATCATTAGCCAACGACCAAAGTTTCTCTCGATTATTGATTAATTTCTGATCTCTATCATCCATACGAAATACATCATCGAGTGGTACAAGTACAAGTTCTTGAACGATTAATGTTTGTCCGATAAGAACTGGTAAATAGATTAGAAATTCAAGAATATATTGCATTGGTTCAATAGGTTCATGTCCAAACGTAGCCGATGATTGAAGTAGAACAAACCATGTATGCATAACTTGTCGATAGATACTCAATGGTAATCGATTTACATGAATATGTTCAAGAATAATTGATGTACAAAGATGTCCAACTGCCGATCGTACATTCATTTTAGCAAGTTCTTGTTCGAAATGTGTCAAAGATGAATCGATTGGTAAACGAAATAATTCATGAGTCGATGTTTCTAATAGAAGAAGACCATTGAGTTCTGTTTGTTTTCGACTAATGAACAATTTTAGAGAGCCATATTTTGGTTGAAAGAAATACAACCATTGTAACCATGTATTAAGATCGATCATAATTGGACATTGAAGAATCAGTTTGCAAAGTTGTGCTTCATCAACAGGCAGGCTCGATGGACAAATGCCAAGTCGATTTAAGCTGACAACATCTAAGAGTGATTCTTCAAAACTAGTAATACATGTCGAATTAGAATAGAATGTATGAAGAAATTTGAGAACTTACTAGATCATTGAATTTGTTTCTTGTCGTTGTTGTTGTTGTTGTTGTTTTGCTTTATTAATAATTTGAGTAGGTCCTTGGAAGCCGAGCAAACCACCAAATTTGTGTTTAATACCTTTTTCAATAGCTGATAATTGATCGGTACTGAAACATATTGGTCTATGTGCATCTGAATGTTCTTCTCGATTATCATAATTTCTCAGAAGTTGATTTACAAATGTATATAGTTCTCGTCGATTACCCGTTGGTATAGCATTTTCATACACAGATAGTTGTCCATTTGGATCGATTCTTTGACGATTCATATGAAGGAATGAAATAAGACTAAGTGGAAGATGACCGCCATCGTCATCATTGATCATACAAAAGCCAAAGAAATTTTCGATTCCATGCTGACTACAAAATGTTTTTTCAACTTCAGCCCATTGTTTTATAGTCAGAATACTATCGTAACGTTTTAGATATTGACCAAGATCTCCACATAATTGCTTAAGAGTTATTGAAGGTTTGACTATTGGTGGTACTGATGAAGATAATAACGTATGTTCAAATGATGTATCAACAGTTGTGTGTATTAAAGTATTTTGCATCGGCTAAAATGTTCAGATGTTATTTTGATAATTAAATCATAAAGAGAAAACAATGTCACTATAACTGATAAAAAAAATAATCATCAATACAATTCCCTTAAAAAATTCATTTATTTTTAGCAAATATTCGTTTCAATCAATCGTTTCGAAATCAGCATGTAACTATCATCAATAGTCATTTCAAGTTCGTATATGGAGGGTCAATATTATTGAACCATGAATGTAGTGATAATTTTTTTTTTTTTTGAAAATTAATATTTGAGAAAAATCGATCGAAAATTATTATAAATAGTTTAAAGTCAAGTTATAATCGTCAACTATTGAACTCACTGATACAGTTGAAACATATCTTATTTCGAATCACATTAGTAGTTCATGAGTGTTATTCTATTCCGATGATTCTTCGCTTCTTCAATCATTTCTTGCGCACTGAGACAGTTGAAACTTATTTCGACTATGTGAATATGCGATATAAGACTGAAAACTGGAAATAAAATGTAACCGGATCAGACATTCAATCAGAAACTTTAAAATTTTCACAATAGATACATCTTAGGTATGACCTAAAGTTTTCTCCCATTGTTCTTCGATCTATTATTATGGACTAAACCAAAACCTATTCAGAAGTAGGTTTATTCAAATCGAGGTCATTCAGATTAATGGTACATTTAAGCGTAAATTTCTAGTAATCAAAGTGTGCATTAGTCTATATACAATGAATATGCGTGTGTAGTTGTCGATGTTCTTTTCGACTACACTTACATCCACACTAATAACTGAACTTGAAAAATTACGCATCTACAATCATTAAAACTTACGGATGTTTGATTGGACGATATCGATTGATATTGCTTATTATGAGACGATTGATTAGCATGTGATAATGAAGATGTTTGCATCGTAGTTGGTTGCGTTGAAGTAACTATTGAAGGTTGATAGAATTTTTTTAATTCTATCATTAATTCATCTGGTTTTTTGATTGTTCCCAAACAAATACTGACATTGAATAGACATTGTAATAATTCATCTTTACGAAATTTGTTCAATGTATCTCGAACGACTTGTTGTTCAGATACAATCAAATATTTTTCGACAATTGCAATTAGATGATCGAAAACAGCCGTAGGTGATTTTTTCTTTTTATCTAATGGAATTTGAAATTCATCTTTTAATTCTTTGATTAATTCTATATATCGTTGTTGAGCTATTTGTATGATATTTGATCGAGCAGTTAATTCAGATCGACGAATATGTATTCGATGTTCTTGTGTCAATTTTCTTGTCACCTATGCATAGAAATGCAAGTGAAAGTGTTTCATATAATATCTTCTAATGTTCGTTAAACATCAATACCTGAGTTAAGTATGGAAATGATCGACAGAAAATGCCAAGTTGCTCACGATTTTCTACTTTATATTCTTTGACTAGCTCTTCGAGAAACTCATCAAAGGGCATACGTGTAGGACCATGATATTTTGCTTGAAAATCAAGAAATGCATTTATAACGTCACCTGTTGTAATCTCAGTAACTGCATTGCTCGATGTTGGTCGTTTGTATTGAAATATACGTTTGACATCAGGATGTTTATCAAGTGGACCCAAATGAGCATCCTCATATTTTTGAAGTTGAAGAAATTTAGCTAATATCGGACCGAGATCATGTAGAGTACATAAATTGAAAACTCTTTCAAAAATTTGCATGTAAAGTATTACAGATTTATGACGTTGAATTAGATTGGTCAATGGTGTAAGATTACGTTGATCAACACCTAGTTCACGAAATGAATGAACATCAAAATATTCAAATAGTTCTTTTTCAACACGTTGAACTGATACAAATTCCTGACGTGCATGAATCGTCAAAATGATTTTGCATAGTTGATCAATGACAAGTTCTTCTTTAGCCGTTTTTGGTTTTGATATTGAATCGTCATTGATAGAGTCTACAAAGTGTAAGACATTACTTGATAATCGATTTAAAAGGGAATAAAGAGAGAAGAATCGACGAGGCGCTAATCTAGGCCTTGACCTCGACAGATCCGAATAGAATTTTGTTGTCCTTCCGTCAGAAACTTTCTCAATACGCGTTTAATTTGCAGACTGACGAATAGCTTCGATCACAACCAATTGAAGACAAAAATTCAAGGATGTCTTTTAAGAAAATCATCGTTTTCAATAACTTTTGATAAAAATTAGATAGAGACTTGCAACTTTTACCAACAAATAGACTAAAATATTTCTATTATGCAGATAGGTCAAATTTTGATTGATTTAATAATATAGCCAGTCAACTCAGCGTGGTTGATTACCCTTGTTTTGTTCCATGATAGAGTGGTTGAAAGTCGTTTAACCGATTTCAACGATCTTGAGAAAACACCGAACCTCTTGAACGTAATGAGCTTTAGAACTCGACTTTGCGTAGATCGAAAGAGAGCAACTTTCTTTATCAATTGATCATATTTTTAGATCAATCAAATGTTGATCTATTTTGATAAAACAAAAAAAAATTTCTCATTCCAATGGTGAAAGCTGAAGATGTCTATCTTAATTTTTATTGAAATTAGTCGAAAACAATGGTTACCTGACCTATATTTTGGCATCGATGATAGATTTATATACCTGTCGGATGAGCCAATCGAGTGTTCGGTGTTGAAGAACGATGAGTAGATGCTTCATAGATTTTTGTCGGCTGAGGTATAAATTGGTGAAAGTTTACAGGCTTTCGTTGCAGAGGCAAGGTTCTTCCTGCAACGGTGTGTGTGGTAATGGATGCTTCGGATAAATCCTTATCTAATTAGAAAATCAAATATCATATCGAACGTTTTCATCATACGTCTCATGAAAGTATCTTGCCTGTTGAAGTAATGATTTGTATTTCGTTGCATGACTCTGGTTTTGGTGGTTGCTGCTTAAGAACAAAGGAAGAAAAATTAGCAAAAACATAAATGAGTACTCGATGATGTATGTTGTACCGCGGATAATTGATTATCATTTGAAACCATTGCGTCATCGGTCGACTCAGTAAATTGAGATGAACGACGATTTTTGCGTCGCCGACGATTACGATGTTTAGTAGAGGCGCAATTCATCACGATGACTATAGTCGATTGTTTGTGGCTTTCGATAACAACAGATGTTGAGTATTTTTTTTCTCTCACTCAGACTGACTTTGCTTTCATATGTTTATCGAAGAAGAAGAAAAACACCAGACATGCAAGCGAATGATTCACATATTAGTTTATGTTGAAATTCATTGGAGACCATACACAGGTTTCTTTTTGTTTCTGCTCTTTTCTCGGTGAAAGTTATTGTTCTTCGTCAAAATAAATACACACCACAATAATTGATATCATGCTTCTACTGTCACCTAGGTTAACCAAAACATTCTTTCAATTTCACACTAAACAATATAACATGTTTGCCCACGTGTAGCACTTATTGAAGAGAAATAATTATTGTCATATATATGTAATAAAATGTCTATATGCCTCTATGTGTTCTGTTTTCTTCATTTTTTCACTTTAGAGAGCAATATCATCATCGAAGCTATATAATCAGAATAAAAGTCACAATGTGGCTGAGACATTTATGTAGAATTATAAGTTTTGGTTCAATCAAGCCGTACTTCAAATGAGCTATAACGCCTTTTAATTTTCAAAATTAATAACATTAAATTTAAAAAAGCAATTCTTTATCATAATTTGTGAAATGAACTCGATACTTTTTTTTCGAACTAATGATTTTTGTGAGCATTCAGCGATAGCAAAACTGTGTGTATCGATTTTATGTTAGAATCTTTATATAAATAATATCTTGTGTTTGTTTGACAGGTGTTTCAAATCTTAGAAATACGAACAAAAAAAGAGGCCATGTGATGCTGATGAAAATTAGTTCAATGGAAATCATCGATAAATCACTAACTTCGCACCTTCGATAATTTTTATTCGAGAACTTCTATTTGATGCTGTATGGATTTCAGATGATGTGATAACTGACACAACACGTAAAAAAATGACATACAATGTAAAAAAAATTATAGTATAGGAGAAACAAATCAATGATTTAAGAGGCTAACCCATTTCAGAAGGCTTCCAATGTAATCATCATGACATTAAAGCATCATATGTGAGCGAATATTTGATGTGAAAACTTTGCTTATTTGTTCATTTTAAATTACGATGTTTGCTAGTAACTACTTGAATGCATCAAACGTAAGGATTTTTATGATTTTTATAACCACCACTATTTCTGGTTCTCTGGAGTAGACTTCAACAAAACTGTATGTGACTAATCGTTAGGCGTCACCATTGTGTCTATTGGATCTTTTCGTTAGTGAATTCTTTCATTGGTAACCAACCGGTTGACTCATTTTCTAAGGACCAAGCGCGTTGACGGCGAATGATACTCATTGAATACAACTGATTGTGTTTCTAGGAGAAATGATTTCAAGTTTAAAAACACTCCTGAGAGAGTGCTGCGCAAATACGAGTACAACTTGTACTACCTTTTTTCTACTACAATTGTAGCATTCATGTACTTTATGTACTATACTATGTACTACGTATAATACATAGTATAGTACATAAAGTACATGAATTCTAGAATTCTAGGTTTTTCGGGGGTACATGGGGGTCTATGTATAATACATAATACATAGTACATAAAGTACATGAATTCTAGAATTCTAGGTTTTTGGGGGATACATAGTGGGTCCTTGTATAATACATAGTACATAATGCATAGTATATAATACATAGTACATGAGGAGTGTCACATGTCCCGAATTTTGGAGATCTCTTGTAGGCATTGCGCATCCCCAGCGAGACACGCGGCACCCACACTCAGGAGATGTGGTCACTCAGTATTGGAGATGTATTATCTCCCTTAGAGATGCAGATCTCCGACACCAACACCCACACCACCATCACCACCACCACCCTGCGTATCGCCCAAAAACCTAGAATTTCAGAATTCATGTACTTTATGTACTATGTACTATGTACTATGTACTATGTACTATGTACTATGTACTATGTACTATGTATTATACAACCCCCCCTCCCCCACGTATCGCCCAAAAACCTAGAATTCTAGAATTCATGTACTTTATGTACTATGCACTATGTACTATGCACTATGTACTATGTATTATACAAGGACTCCCCTATGTATTATATATAATACAAAGTACATAGTACATAAAGTACATGAATCCAGAATTCTAGGAGAAAAAAGGTAGTACAAGTTGTACTCGTACTTGCGCAGCTATGCCTGATGAAGATCGGACAACGGTTGATAGGTTTTTCTCTGCCCAGGTCATCTGATAAGGGATTTGCAAGAATAGGGAAAATTCTTGAAAAATAAATTACAACATTGAGAGAGTCTGGTTATTCCTTTGAAAAAAAATTTCGTTATTAGTATCGTATGAATCACCTCCAAGAAGCAAGGAGAATTAGGTTGAAGCACACATATTCTCTTGCTTTTATTCGCAGTACAGTGTCTTTTTAGCCTAGAAAGAACTTCAATAGGTGCTTTTATTTGCATATAATAAATCCGATAAACGCATTGAAATTAATAGAACTCATGGAGTCTCGACAGTTGATTTTTTTCAACTTGCAAAATGTAATCTAAAATAAATAAGCAGGTAAAGTGAATCTCAATGAGTATATCAAGGGTGTAAAATCTTCCGAGAGTGCGAAAAAATTTAGCAAATGACATGGGTTTCGCTCGAAAATTTCCTCTTTGTAAAGTTGATATATTTTTTCTTTTTCATCCAATTACATAGACGGTGTGAAATAGGGATGAAAACCATGCCCACATGTTCTTGATTATTTATCTGAGATGAGCACCATCAACAGAAGAAAATATCATATGAAGAAAGGGTGTGAGTTTGCGCTTGTGTATTAGAGTGGATAGCTTTTCTTCAACCGACACCAAGAAACACATTCACACCTATCGACATCTACATAAGTATCCCATACATGCTTACTGTCTGTTTCTAGACCCTATCCTTCCAATATAGAGAAATTAATGCTATTAAGAGGAACTGATTTAGAGCATACATTACGAATCTTATATGACATCATCAATGTATATTTTTTAAAAGCTACTCTTCTATTTTCTAGAATACAGTGACTCATGATAACCTTTCTTCGAAAATTGAATGGAAGAAAGTGCATCTGTGATTATTAGTCAACGCGTTCTATATATTGACGAAGGTTGCAAAGGCAGATTGATATTTCATTAGAGTGTATCTTGAAAGTGCTAGTGTCTTTTAGTGTTTACCACATCACAACATAGTTCAAATACATAAATCTCTACTTTATTATACATCTTAAATTGAAACACCATTAAGGATGGATTTTTTAAATTTTTTGACTGTCATCGCCATCATCACATTTGAAATTGGAACAATACCATCATGGGCAGTTGAAATTGATTTATATACGAAATCATATTATCTGAACTGTGGCACTTTAAGTGGTTGCCAACAATTCAGTTATCCATGGACATATCGTGGGAAATATATTGAAAATCAAATTTATGATTTCAATGCGTTTGAAAATGGAGGAAATTTTTGTCATGGCCAATTATCAATTACATCAAGAAATGAAACGCATTATAGAATCTTTTTAAGAGGAAGGTCGGATCCGGATCGTGAATGTGATTTAAACAAACAACCAAATCTAGCGGATCAATGCAGTGCTTGTTTCAGTAGGTTACCGGTTTGTTGGAACTTTTCATGTACACCAGCTGAAAGAACATGCTGCATATATTCATTGACTCAAAAAGAATAAGAGTTCAGAATATTTTTTCTCCTGACTTACTTTCATGTATTTTTATCACCTTTTCTATTTTCAAATATAAAATAATCATAAATCATTAAAATAAGAGGGTGTGGGGGTGTCAGTGTGAGTGGGTGTAGGGTGTGGGGTGCGGGTGTGGGGTGTGGATGGATGTGAACGTGAAATATGGGGCCTGGTGCCTATTAATCATACACACAGACACACACTCACACCCACACCCTAATTGTCCTACATGTTAATAACCATAGAAACAAAACTATTCACATTTCATGCATCATATTTGAAAAATTTGCAGCATATTTAGATTCTTCTAGCTAAGAAATGTAATTGTTGTGAGCTACATATCTACATATATATATCTACATATATTGTACTAGAATAGGGTGTGCGTGTGGGTAAAAGAAGAGTTGTACCCACACCCTACTGGAAAAGATACAGTTCTGGCCGGTTCCAAATCTGGAACCGGTCTCTCTTGTTTGGCTATGAATGACAGTAATGTATCTGTGAATATACGGGCAGAAATAGTAAACATTTCTCTTCAAGATGCATTATCGAAAAATGTAGTGGCATTAAAAATGAGGGAATCGGTCATATTTTTTTAATAGTATCTGGAGGGTTCCAAAAGAACCATTGCAGAACTCTATACTCATCAGTTATTTGTTTAAAGAAAAAATACCCTTGAAAGATAACAATTATTATTATTTAAAATATTTAAAGTGGTTTTCTTTTAAATATTTTTAATTAAGAAAAATTTTTGGGTTGATATAATCGTTCGTATAAAAAGATTTGCATTTAAATTATTTAGAGTTTTCGAATGTGTTTCTTTTTATTAATATTATATAGATTTTTTAAGAATCTATTTTCATGTTTTAATTTCAGAAAAAAAAATATTGATTAATGTTGAGATAGTTATTTTAGTGTTGAATATGATCAATAATTTGTCTGATGAAAAAAAAAGTATAGAATTATGCTTATTATAAGTCTATTATAATTCGTTTCACTTCATCCTAGTGAATGAATGACTGATATTGTTTTAGTTCTTATATCGTAGCGAAGTAATTGAGAATGTTTGATGAATAGTTTTGAGGTTAGATAAGAGACATTTGAAGAATGTCTAATATTTGCAATAGACAAAAGAGAGCAATTACAATTTATTGATTATCAATATTTGATTCAATCAAAGAAAATTAATTTTTATAATGTATAGATAAGCAATTAACAAAATACCAATTTACATGAGAATTTATAGTCCAACAAGATTCGGTATCTGTGAGTGTCCTATAACAATCCAAGATTGATATCTACCATTATGAGTAGATTGGAAACTTTCTACTAATTGACGAAGAATATTATCTATATCGACCTTTTTTAATTCGACAGCATGTAGATAAAAATTAAATCGACGAAGTAATGGCAGATACGAATCAATTAATGATGCGTACCAATCATAATTCATTGGACAGTTTTTCATATTTGAACTGAAAATATGACGAAAGAGGCAAAGTTGTTCGAGATTGGATACACATTAAAGATAATTTTCAATAAGACGATTATTCCAAGACTGGAAAAAATAATCATTCTTTAATATTAATTGTTTCATATTAAAATGTGATTTTATATGAGAAGGTAGTTCAGTCATAGAGAAATGTAATAAATTTAAAAGAATATAAATTCGGACATGATGATAGAATGGCTTTATAAACAAATAAACTGATAAATCCAACTTCTAAAAATACTTAATGAGGGTATTTGTATCCATTGTTGTGTTCTTTTTATTATCGCTCTATTCGATAAATAACAAGACTGTAAATGAGAAAAATCGTTCGAAAATATTTTGTTACATATATCAGGCAAATCAGTTGAAAGTAATAAATGCATATTTCGAATTGAAAGATGTTTTAAATAAGGTAAAATATCATTATCAAGTTGTTTGATTTCTTGGTATGTTGCATGTATTAATATAAGAGGATGAATACTTGTAAAATGGGTGAAGTCAATATTGATTTTATCTTGAATTATTAAAAAATAAATATATTATCATTCTCATTTTTAGTATGATTATACTTTGAAATTGTAAGAGAAAGATGATTGAGAGATCGAAGAAGATCATTAAAACGAGTATTTTAATTGAAAAATACTTGAAAGAGATCGCGAGCATCAAAATACTGGAATAAAACTATAGGAATCTCATTGGGTAAGAGGGTATGGGTGCGGCTGGATGGGTACCCTATTGGAATACAACAAAACACGCCCACACCCTCAAGAGGAATGCGTGACATTCAGTCGTTCATCTCTGTCTATGCAATGTGAAGAACTTAACATTCGTGTAGAAGATTGAATATTAATATGTTATCTAATTAATGGGTATGGGTGTTATCTGTTCCTCTATCACGACAAAACTTACATCCACACTCTCACCCACACCCCACACCCGTAACAGTATATCAAGTTGAAGAAAAATTTTGTAATCAGACCACTTGAATTTTTTCTTGTTTATGTCAGTGTTTGACTGCAACCTCGTCTTTATCGAATAAGATAGGTGTGTGGATGAAAAATATAAGAGACCAAATTCGGTCACCTCTGAGTTTATTACACACTTCAAATATTTTTAAATTTCTTCTTAGTTAAAAAAAGAAAGCAAATAGATTCGAATAGGTGCTTGATATGATATCTTTAACGTAACATCTTTGCTTGGCACATGTTTGCAGACTCATGATTTTAGACGAAGCTATAGTTGTGTTGTTTTCTTTCAACTACGTGAAGTAGCTGTTATAGTTCAGCATTGGTTTTGCAACGATGTACATTTCAATCTACTACACGATTTTGTTTCTGGTCGTAGTCGCATGTTTCGGAGCGCCATTCAAGATGTCTGACAGTTGTAGTTACGATGTATGGATCGCTAGAAATATGGATAAATACGACTATTTCTATTTTAGTCATGCAATCTTGGCAAACCGGATAAACTCAATGTTCACATAGTGCCACATACGCATGACGATGTCGGCTGGCTCAAAACAATCGATCAGTACTATTACGGAGGTGTGCAAAAAATTAAACATTTACAACGATTAGCAAGAGTTTGATGGAAATTCAACAGTCCTTCACAGTTGATTTTTAGTCAAAGACTGATCGAGACTATAGAAATTTCGATGGAAATATGTTGAGGTCAGGTAACCGAGGAGCGAGTCACGCTGGAGAGCATCCGATTATCATCAATTGTAGAATTCATTTCTTAGCCGATCGATATAATTCATCTTCTATTTAGCGCGTAACAACATTGCACATGCGGGCGTCCAATACATTATCGATTCTGTAATTCAAGCACTTGATGAGAATCCTGATCGACGTTTCATTTATGTCGAAATTGCCTTTTTCTGGCGCTGGTGGAATCAACAAAACGAAGAGACTCGGAACAAGGTCAGACAACTGGTTAATGAAGGTTAGTAGATTTTGTTAAAAAATTACAATATGTGGAAGAAATTTAGGTCGTCTTGAATTCATCTCTGGTGGCTGGTGCATGAATGATGAAGCATCAACACATTACAATTCGATTATTGATCAACATAGTTTGGGTGCCGAATTTTTACGTGATCAATTAGGTGAATGTGCTAGACCGAAAATCGGCTGGCAAATCGATCCATTCGGTCATTCACGCGAAGTCGCTTCGCTTTTTGCTCAGGTTAGATTTATGTTCTTGCCCATTTGAAAAAGAAATAACAAGGCACATTACTCGACATAGATGGGTTTCGATGGGCTGTTTTTTCGACGAGCCGATTATGAAGATCTTGACCAACGAGAAAGAACTAAAACAATGGAAATGGTCTGGAAGGCTAGTGATAATTTGAGTGAGTAGGAAAAAGAATCAAGCTAGAAGTATTGATTCGAATCCTCTACGTTTTCAGATCAGACCAGTTGGCTATTCACGGGCATTTCGGTCCGTACTTACGCACCACCGGTTTCATTTTGTTATGATATAACTTGTAATGATCCACCTATTGTGGTTAGTTGAAATTCTTACTGATTGTGTTTTGTTTTATTGTTTATCATGCTTGTCAATGCATGCTTCTTTGACATTCTAGCTAATAGCGATCTACCGTCGGATAGTTTCTGCGTCGGTATCGATTGCGATGATACACTTATGATGGTGTGCTATTTATCTTGTTTGTTTTCATTGACCCATGTTTATTTTAGGATGATCCTAGTTCACCTGAATACAATGTTCCCGAACGTGTTCAAGCTTTTATTAACATTGCACACAATGAGGTCTGTAATATTAATATTCTAGCCATTCAATAGAAGAATACGTTTGCTCAAGAAATTTAACCTCAATGTTGACTTCTTTTCTGTTATTAGTCTACCTACTATGCTACCAATCATATCATGATGTGTTTGGGTGATGATTTCCGATATGAAAATGCCTTTGAATACTTTAAAAATCTAGATAAATTGATTAAATATGTCAATGATCAGGTAGGATTTTGATCAGGTTCTACTGATGTCTAGTATGAGAACATTTCTAGCAAGTGAATGGGAGTGATGTGAATATATTCTATTCTACACCGTCGTGTTACTTGTATGCTCTCAATAAAGTTGGTCGTATGTGGACATCGAAAACTGATGATTTCTTTCCTTATGCTCGCACACCACATGGATTCCAGACGGGCTATTTCACATCGCGTCCCGCTTTGAAAGGTTTCGAGCGTTATACAAACAACATTCTTCAGTGTACTCGACAACTTAATGCATTTGCTAATCTCAATCAACGCAATAGTCTGTTTCTGTTAAGTAAGCATGATGATTTTCTTTTGTCTGCTGTACATTATTATTGATTACAATAGGCGAACCGATGGGCGTTGTTCAGCATCATGATGCTCTTAGTGGAACAGAAAAACAGGAAGTCGCCAACGATTATGCCAAAAGATTGAGCGCAGGCATCGATATTGCTACGGTAGGCCACACGAACTAAACAGAGATGTATGCATGAAATCGGGTTATCTTGAGGATGACTAAAGGTCTCCTAGGACTGAGCTTCTTTCATCATTCTTTTTCCTCCAGTAAAAAGTTTCAAGATGTGATTTTCTAGGGTGTGATCAATGATGCTTATTCGAAATTGTTGTCCAAAAACCAAGAGCCACCGCCGAGTGTTCCTCAATTTCTTTGTCAATACGCGAACATAAGCGAATGTCTTCCGATCGAAGGGATCGAGCGGGTGAGTATTACCGATGAATAAATTTTTAAAATCAAAGATTTGTATTCAGTTCACATTGACGCTCTGGAATCCGACTATTCATCCTGTAACACAGCTTGCTCATGTACCCGTTACAAACGACTATACAATTCGTGATCCAGTAGGACAAATTATTACGGCTGAGGTAATAGAAATGAATGAAATCAATAGACTATTTGATCTTCTCTGTTTTTCTTTCAAGTATCTCCCAATTCCGTCCACAACAACGAGAATTCCAGGTCGAAAGAGTATTGCCGACCATCAATTGGTATTCAGAGCGGACGTGCCTGCACTTGGTTTTAGTACTTTCTTTTTCGAAGTCAAAAGTAATAGTATTCAATCGCATTATAGACGTTAGAATTTATCTGTATCAAAAATTTTACTTAGCAAAGGAAGAGCTGAACGAGAAACGAGCAGTCGAAATCACGCACAATGATTTGTGTACGCTAGCAAACGAAGTACGCATCGATGCTTAACAAAAGATGAATAGTTTCCAAGTATTGCTTTTCTATAGCATCTTCGAATCGAATTCGATGATAAAGGCAATATGCATAAGATCGTCAATAAAGATAAGCAGATTGCTATTCCATTGGCTGCTCAAGGCTTGTATTGGTATCCATGTAAGAAAATCATGAAGTACTATTTGTTGAATATTCGATTGATTTTTTCTTGGTATTTTAGCCTATCCGGGCAATAATTCTGGACCGGACTTTCAAGGATCCGGTGCTTACATTTTCCGACCATGGTGGCAGGAAGCTCGTCCCGTGAATGATTCACGAACGATGTAAGTTTTAGCAAAGAACTTTACATTATTATTTTTTTTCTCTTTTCAGCATATGTACACTCACCGAAACTGTACAATCGGCATTAATTATCTACAATGATTGGGCTAGTTTTGAAGTGAGTCTACATTCCGAATCGCTTGCTATCGAACTCGAGTGGACAGTTGGACCTATAGCAATTGATGACAATATCGGCAAGGAAGTTATCATGCGTTATGATACTGATATTGAAAGTGCAGCGACATTCTATACAGATGCTAATGGACGTGAAGTTCTACAACGTATACGTGATTATCGACCAACATGGAATTATACTGTGACTGAACCTGTTAGTGGCAATTATTATCCCGTCAGTAGTCGTATTTGGGTCAAAGATAGTACACGACAATTTACAGTTCTTACAGGTAATATTATTATGAAAGTCAAATATCTATATTCGGTAATTGCTGAATATTCTCCCTGTGTAGGTTTTATAGTAGCTATTTTTGTTTCCATCGTTGATCATACCTAGCCGATCGATATCATTTCACAACTTACATCCAATCAAAACCTGCTTATTACGATTCGTTATCGTAATAGCTGAAACGGCTGTATCCATTCTTTTTGGTCAAAATCTTTTCTTTTCTCTAAAAATCGATGAGGATGAGTGGATGAGTGATTTCATTTCATAGATATTTTCTTCTGTATCTTTGTTGAATCGATCAACATGAAAATGATTTTTCATTCATATAGTTGTCGATATTTGATTGTATTCAGATCGATCAGAAGGTGGCTCAAGTATGAAAGATGGTTCGATCGAAGTTATGCTACATCGACGAATATTACACGATGATTCACTGGGTGTTGGTGAACCATTGAATGAAACTGCTTATGGTCAAGGTCTTGTCGTACGTGGTCGACACTCATTGATTTTGGAACCACCGACAACAAGTGCACGAAATCATCGAGTCAATGCTCAACGGATGTATATGCACACACTAGCAACCTATGCAGCACCCGAATTATCTTATGCTGATTATTCGAGTAAATATCGTCAAACATGGTCGGCACTTTCCAGTAGCATGCCTATTAATGTGCATCTGTTGACATTTGATCAGTTGAAATCGAAGCAATATCTTGTGCGGGTTGAACACTTTTTTGAACTGAACGAAGATGCTGTCTATTCGCAACCGACTACATTCGATTTGCAATCTCTGTTTAATAGTCTAGGTTCGATAAAAGAGTTACTCGAATTAACACTCGGTGCTAATATGCCGTTGGCCGATGTTCATCGCCTTGTTTGGGTAACTACTGAGGGTGAAGTGTCCAATAGTACATCCAGTAAGTTGTATTTTACTCTTTTGACTATGAAATTTTAAACAATATTTTCGTAGAACAATCCTCACTGACAGGCACAATGGTTACACTCAATCCAATGCAAATTCGAACATTTCAAGTAACACTTCAATAACGAATTCATTACATAACTATCGAACAGCATGATAAATCGTTTTCTACCTATTCAGAGTACCTTAGTATTGATATCTCGAGCTAAACAAAATAAATCTATATGTCGTAGGAAACATTAAAATCCAGTTCAGTTTTAGATCGAACTAGGACGGGTGAAGATTATGATCTGAACTATTCATTGTGGATTAGTTCAAATTGAAATGTGTAAAAGCTTATCGTTGAAAAATCTTGCTTTTGGTGTTGGAAACACGACTGTGCTAGTCATTTAGATATTTTCATGGGTGTGGGTGTAAGTGGGATGTGGGTGTGAATGCGAGTGTGAATGTGGACTTGGGTGTGGGATGTGTGTCAAGGAGAGACGTATTCACACCCACACCCACATTCTTAATGTCTCATCCAATATCTCACTAGTTAATCAATACTATCCGAGCCACCGATTACTAGATGAAAGATAAGTATTCAAGTTGTTGAGACCAGTGCTATACTCTTGTATAATTTGAGATTTTCATTCGAAGTAAAAAGTTATTTTTTATACTGTTGCAGCTCTGACAAAGACTTCTACCATAGCAAAGAAAGTCAATATTTATATTTTAAGAAAGAAAAGAAAATTCAAAGCATTGATTTTGCTATCTTTCTAGAAAGTTCGCGTTGTTATTTCAATTCGTCTTTCAACGAATCTGAATGAGATATTCTCAGAAAACGTACTGGATCTTATACAGATTTTTTTCTAAAGCACATCTACAGTAAACTTTTCAGACCAGCGGCTAGTCGTTCGTCGGTGCTCATCCAGGCCACCACTCACGACTAATCGCTCCTGTGCTTGTCTTTTTTCGGGAAAGATCATTCTATTTTAGTTACATTCTACCCAAATAACATTTTACTCCCTTCCACACAGTTATTCGATTATCAGCGACAAAATTCTCGATTGAAAATTGAAAATACTAGAGCTATTCTGAAACAATCTATAGATGTAATACTCTGCATCGACGTTAATGAAATATCAGTGTGAACAAGCGACTGATTGCTCAAACCCAAATAGATAAAACGAAGACCAACGAGAAATGCAAAGCGACTTTACTTCTCTGGCTTACTGAAACAACGTGAAAACTCTTATTAGATTAATGTTACACTTAAAAGAACTGGTGTTCGGCTGAAAATCTTGTCTTAATCAAACTGATAGGACGAATCTTATCTACGCATGGTAGCGTATAGACTGAAGTTTCGGTTACACAATAAAGATTGGTTGACAGCTCGATATTCCCAATATTCCATGAATAGAGAACTCACGGATTGAAAGCCTAACTGTACGACAATCTGATAGCGAAAATACAAATTTATTAATTTTTTTCGGTATGACCCTCCTTTCAATCAAGGAAGAAACATTATTTTCGTAAAATAACCTTTCATTCTTGAAAAAATCACACTTAAAATTTTGAAAAACCGATTACAGATTCGGATTCTTTGATTCCGATTACATTTATTCAAACTTTATAGAAAATCCATATCTATACATCGACACGTGATCGTACACGTGACTGCAAACAAACAACCAAACTCATTTTATTTCATATGACCCTTCCTTCGGTCGAGGCAATAAATGAATAATTTATTAAGTTTATTAAAATATGTTTTCCACCATTTAGAATCTATGATTTAACATCTCTTGCTATCGATATTATTTGAAAAATTCTGTATTACTGAGATGCATCTGGACGCCTCTAAAAAAAGAAGCAGAGAGAAAAAAACTTCAGAGGTTGACCTACTTTTGATAAATGCAAGTAAACTTAGTGACTTTTGTCTGGAAGTATTCCTGTTGGACTCTAAGTCTTACTTAAGTTGCTTAGAAGAAATGCATGAGACGACACCTGTTATTATTTTTCGTCCAGAAACTATAGTCATATTGTGTTCGATATTTATTTAGCGCGAATCGAAACATTAACCTTTTATTCTTTTCTAAATGAAATACATTCCATTCATGTGCATTCTGTATTCAACTACATTAATCTGCAATGCAAAGAGAAAAATGAGATAACGTATTATTTCTATTTTTTATTATAAGCAAACGACAACTAAATAATAGTAAAAAACAACAAAAAAGTTTTACAACAACAAAACCCAATCACACATTTTTATTCATGAATAAAATCTTATTGAGAGTCACAAAATGTGTTAGAAGTAACTGGCAAAAAATGGTTTACATTTAATCGAGATATGATAGAAGACATTTGTCTCCATAGTCACTGAATCAAGATGTTCTCGTTATTTCAGATTGCTCTAGTTGAAGCATTGACATCTATGATTGGTAATGGTGCGATAGGTCGTAATGATTTTCCAACTCTTGTTAATGGAACAATCCTTGGATCGTGTCGAGGCCATAGTTCAGGTAAACTAATTAATGAAACAAAAGGACATACCAAAATTACAATGTAAATACCATATGGTAAAATATTGATGCTCAATTCGACTAAGAAAGGTTGTGGAACTGGAGAGAAAATAATAATTAACCAACAAATTACCATAGGCAGCCAGACAAGATTGTGCAATATTACAATATATAATAATTGTATGAGAAGACGTCGATTTTTTTTCCACATTTGACGTTGTTGCATGCGACGTTTTTGCCATACAACACGACTCAATAATA